CTCGCTGGCAAGCCCAGCTAGCTACCCAGCTAGCTACCCAGCTAGCTACACAGCTAGCTACACAGCTAGCTACCCAGCTAGCTACCCAGCTAGCTAGATAGCTAGCTAGATAGCTAGTCAGATAGCTAGTCAGATAGCTAGCTAGCTAGCTAGCTAGACAAACAGACAGACAGACAGACAGACAGACAGACAGACAGACAGACAGACAGACAGACAGACAGGCAGATAGAAAGACAGACACGCAGATAGAAAGACAGCTAAGGAGCTAGCTAGCTAGACAGCTAGCTAGCTGGGTGGCTAGCGAGAGACACCTTGTCTTCTTTAGTTGGCTAACTGTCTAGCTATCTTCTGTCTACACTGGCTAGCTACACTCTGCATAAACCCTCGCGAGGGTTTATGAAGCACCTGGGGGCAACTGAGCACTCACAACAAAGCAGAACGAGGGTTTAGGGTTTAGGGTTTGCGGTTGCACACAGCAAGAAGATGATGGAAAGGGAGCAGCAAAGAGAGCAGCAGAGAGAGCGCGAGGAACAGGCGAGTCCGGCTCAGCTAGCTACGTAGCTAGCTGCAGCTAGCTAGCTAGCTACAGCTAGCCGCAGCTAGCTGTATAGCTAGCTACACCTAGATACACCTAGCTACATAACTAGCTACGGCTACTAGCCACATCTAGCTACACAGCTAGCTACAGCTAGCTGTCACTAACTCTATAGCTAGCTACAGCTAGCTCTCCAGCTAGCTGCAGCTAATTCTATAGCTAGCTACAGCTAGCCACAGCTAGCTACAGCTAACCGCAGCTAACTGCAGATATATACACGTACAGCTAGCTACAGCTAGCCACAGCTAGCTAGGCTTGCTGCACCCAACAAGAGGTCTCATGCCCCGCTACGCGGACCTGGAAGAAGAAGCAGCAGCATCTCCTCCGTCTTAAAACCCCAAACCCTAAACCCTAAACCCTAAGCCCTAAACCCTAAGCCCCGGAGTTCAGGGTTTAGGGTTTAGGGTTTACAGCCTTCGGCCTTTAACTCGCATTTGTCTTCAGAAAGAACTACGGAGAATTGAGGCGCACAGACTGCAGCCTCGCGGGTGCCCCAAACCCTAAACCCTAAACCCTAAACCCTAAACCCTAAACCCTAAATCGTCGCTTTGAGTTCTAAACCCTACCTCTAAAACAAAACCCTAAATCGTTGTTTCAATCGCTAAACCCTAAAATCTTTACACCCTTGAATCCAGAAGCCCGAGCAGTTGTGGGTGGGCTCACAAACCCTAAACCCTAAACCCTAAACCCTAAACCCTAAACCCTAAAATAGAATGCGGGGGTTTGCAGCTGTCCTTGGGATTTGATATCTGGCGCTTCGCTCGACTGTGAACGAACAAAAAAAATAACCGAGGCAGCAAACAGAAAAGCGGTAATCAAACCCTAAACCCTAAACCCTAAACCCTAAGCCCTAAGCCCTAAACCCTAAACTCTAAACCCTAAACCCTAAGCCCTAAACCCTAAACCCTAAACCCTAAACCCTAGAAAGGTTTTGTTTCTCCGTGGTTCTCAGCGCCTCCAGGAAAGCCGATATGCCTCCCGCCAACGCGACTTCGACATCCTCACCGGTAAGCCCTAAACCCTAAACCCTAAACCCTAGGAGTCCTAAACAAAGTTTATTCGTTTTCTGTTGCATTCAGGAGAACCCCGAAATTAGCGAAACAAGGGCTAATGCCCTCAGCAGCAACAAACACAGCAGCAGAAGCAGCAACTGCTGCTGCTGCTGCTGCTGCTGCAGCTCGCGTCTCAACCCCATACCCTAAATCCTAAACCCTAACTGCTTCAGCTATCTTAAAGGGCGGGGCTCGCCCTCGTGATGGTTTAGGGTTTGCGGCTGTAGACAATTTAAACGGGTCCCAGGAAACCCTAAACCCTCCGAATACGCCCTAAACCCTAAACCCTAAACCCTAAACCCTAAACCCTAAACCCTCTCTAGAAAGAGCGGTTGCTTTCCAATGCATTTAGCGGTAAAAGGGGGAGGCCAGTTCGGCTGTGCAGCTAGGGTTTAGGGTTTAGGGTTTAGGGTTTAGAACGTAGAGGAGCGTGTAGCCTGAGTACTTTTTAAACTGCTCATACACCTGAAAAAAAGAAACCCAAGAGGAGGGGCTTTGCCTTCGCCTCGCCGTCAGCAACTCCCGACGCATGCACACCCTCTTGCTGCTGCTGCTGCTGCTGCTGCTGCTGATGCTGCTGCTGATGCTGCTGCTGCTGCTGATGCTATTGTTGCAGCACCTGCTGCTGCAGCTGCTGCTACTGCTGTTGTCGTTGCTGCAGCAACTGCTGTTGCAGCAGCTGCTGCTGCTGTCGCTGCTGCTGCTTCTGCAGCACCTGCTGCTGCTGCTGCTGCTACTGCCTTCTCTGCTGCTGTTGCTCGTGCTGTTGCTGTTGCTGCTGCTGCTGTTGCTGCTTCTGCTGCTGCTGCTGTTGTTGCTGCTGGCGGTGGTGGTTTCTTTGCTGCTTTTGTTGCTGTTATCGTCGCTGCTACTGGTGCTGCCTTCCCTGTTGCTGCTGCTGCTGCTGTTGCTGCTGCTGTTGCTGCTACTGAGTGGCTTGAAAGACAGCGTATGATCGGGCTGCTGCTGCTGCTGCTGCTGCATCTGTTGCTGCTCGTTCTGTTTCCGCTGCTGCTGCATGCATGCTTCCTTGTTGCTGCAGCAGCTCTCACGGCTGCAGCAGCAGCAGCAGCAGCAGCAGCAGCAGCAGCTTTCTTGCAGATATTCTCTAGCAGCAAACACCAGTGCATAATGGTTGGGGCCGTGATATATTATGCAGCTGCCGGGGGCCCTCAGAAGATCGACAATATAACACCAAATAGCTTCTTGTTCTGCTGCTGCTGCTGCTGCTTCTGCTGCTGCTGCTGCTGCTGCTTTTGCTGCTGCTGCTGCCGCTGCGACTTTTGCTGCTGCTGCTGCTGATGCTGCTTTTGCTTCTGCTGCTGCTGCTGCTTCTGCTTTTGCTCCTGCTGCTGCTGCTGCTGCTTCTGCTTTTGCTTCTGCTGCTGCTGCTGCTGCTTCTGCTTTTGCTTCTGCTGCTGTTTTTGCCTTTGCTTCTGCTGCTGCGGCCGCTGCCTTAGCTTCTGCTGCTGCGGCTGCTGCTGCCGTTTCTGCTTGTGCTGCTTTTGCTGCTGCTGCTGCTGCTCCTGCTGTTGCTATTGCTGCTGTTCTTGTTGTTACTGGTGCTGCTGTTGCTGCTTCTGCAGCAGGAGCAGGTGCAGGTGCAGTTGTTGCTGGTGCTGCTGCAGTTGCTGCTGCAGTTGCTGCTGCACTTTCTGCTGCTCCTGGTGGGGATAAGGAGGCCTCAGCAGACGCTGCTGTTTTTCCTGCTGCTGCTGTTGCTGCTGCTGGCGTTGCTGCTGATGTTGCTTCTGCTGCTGTTGCTGCCGCTACATTTTTTGCTGCTGTTGCAGACGCTAAGACCGCCGTCTGGCCTTCCGCTGCTGCTGCTTCTGCTGCTGCTGCTGCTGCTGCTGCTGCAGCTTGTCGTGTATACAAAGTCTTGTAAGGACTACGCAGGGGCCCCCCAAAGATATAACCCACCTCCAGTGGCTGCAGCGATGAAGCCCTGCTGTTGCTTCTGCTGCTGCTGCTTCTGCTGCTGCTGCTGTTGCTGCTGCTGCTGCTGTTGCTGCTGCTGCTGCTGTTGCTGCTGCTGCTGTTGTTGCCGCTGCTGTTGTTGCTGCTGCTGATGACTTCGCTGCAGTTCGAACTGTTGCTGCTGCAGCTGCTGCAGCAGAATGGGTTGTTGAGAGTGCTGCAGCAGCAGCAGCCGCTAATGCTGCTGCTGCTGCTGCTGCTGCTGGGGATACCATTGGTGCTGCTGCTGCTGCTAACTCCAGCTTGCGGAACGCTGTCATATGGTTGCTGCTGCTGCTGCTTCTGCTGTTGTTGCTGCTGTTGTTGCTGTTGCTGCAGCCAGAGCTTGTCTAGCTGCAACACTGCTTGCAGCACCGCAGCATTACCTTGTGCCGCTGTTGAGGGCCTTTGCTGCAGCAGCAGCTGGCAGCAGCAGATGGATTCAATCCATGCAGCAGCAGCAGCATCAACGACAGGTGAAGCGAAAAGACGCGGCAGCAGCTGCTTACCCCCTTGCTGCTGCTGCTGCTGCTTCGGCTTTCTGCGTTGCTGCTGCTGCTGTTGCTGCTTTTTCCTTTGCTGCTGCTGCTGAGGCGGTTTCTTCTGGGGTGTGCTCAGCAGCAGCCGCTGCTGCTGCTGCTGCTGCTGCTGCTCCAGCTCCTCTTGATCTTGGTGTAGCGACGACGGATGTTGTTGCTTTTGTTCTTGCTGCTGCTGCACCGGTTGCTGCTGCTGCTGCTGCTGCTGCAGTGAAGAGGGATTGCTGCTGCCCTCCACTCGCTTTATGCTTTGCGGTGTCTCCTCTGCTGCCTTTCTGTTGTCTCCTGCTGCTGCAGCGCCGTCCTGCTGCTGCAGATGTTGCAGCTGTTGCTGTTGCTCCTGTTGCTGTTGTTGTTGCTGCTGCTGCTGTGGTTGCTGCTGCTGCTGCTGTTGCTGTTGTCGCCGCTGCTCCTCCTCCTCCTGTTGCTGCTGCTTTGGGGTAAGCAGCAAACAGAAGTTTACGTTCTGCCACCGCTGCTGCTGCTGATGCTGCTGCTGCTGTTGCTGCTGCTGCTGCTGCTGTGCATTTGTTTGACCTTTTTTGTTCTGTGTAAGAAGCAGCAAATTGGATATAGAGAGAGTATCTTGCTGCAGCAGCAGCTGCTGCGGCAGCAGTTGCTGCAGCAGCAGCTGCTGCACTGAGTTATCCTTCTTCTTTGCTGCTTCTTCTAGGGCCTCGCTCTCTATTAAAGGAGACGGGTCAACCGCATCAGCGCCGCCTATAGAAGAAGGGGCCCCCAGGGGGCCCCCTTCTGCGTAGGGGGCCCCCTGGGGGCCCCCTTCTTCCTGGGGGGCCCCCCTATGAGACTCCAGAAAGGACTCCATGGGGCCCCTCTTACTAGCAGAGGCCTCAG